ATAGTGATAGTAATAGTAATAATAACAGTTATAGTAGTAGTAATAGTGGTAATAAATGATTGTGAATAATATATATGTTACACAGGATCTTGTAATACCTACAAAAAAATATCATTATGTAAAATAAATATAGAATAAATAGGAAATCATCATTCATTCTTGCCCCACAACCACAAACTGCTTACATCATCACAACAACAGCAACAACAGAAGAGAGACAGACGATTGTATTCATTAAATGTTCAAGCAAACTGCCAATGTCTCTCTCTCTCTCTAAATATGGCATCTTTTGCAAGAAGTTCTGGTACAATTATCGCCTGTTTCACACAGACAATTTCTACATCACAATAGAGAAGATGTGTAAGGACAATTAAAACATTGTGTATATATATATATATATTCCCTGTCTGTTCTCGTTGAGAATGAATGCATGTATATATATATATATATATTGGTGTGTATGTGTTAATGTTAAATGTGTATGCCTGATGGGTAAGTAAGTATGTAATTTGATTCAATATTATTAAATAATTAGGAAAAATCATTGTCATCCATTATCAATCAATCGACACCTTCAAATCCTTCGGCATTCTCTATAGCAATGATAAGCTTACAGCGGAGTTCTTCAAAAGTTGTATAAGGCGGCAGATCCAAGCGATTGAAACTAGAAGAGGAAAAAACAAAAAAGTGTGGAGGGGGTAGGAGTATAAAACACAGGTCTGGACAAAAGAAGACGTTGGAATACAATGATAACAATCCGTAACCATAACCAGTTGACTGGCGCTGAAAAAGAGAGGAGTTTAAGCATGAAGGTTAGAAACCCGACAAAAATAAATCGCGCCAATCAAGGAACTCTACTAGAACTCATGCAGTCAGCTAACATCACAAGGAGAGTTGTCATCTGAAGTGGTGACAGCAACTAGTGGTGTCCATCACGGATGCCCACTACTATCCCATTTTCTATTTAATTTCATCATAGTGTGGTGAGAGCTGGCTGCTAGCCAAAGTTGGTAGACAGTAATTTACGTCAATGTTTACGTCCCCAATATTGGTCGTGAGAAAAATAAGAACAAAGACTGATTCAACAACCAATCACAGAAGACTTTGTTTGCGTAGGCGGATACAATTTGCAGATAGATAATCTGAACTTCAAGAAACTGCCACAAAAAGATGAAAGATTAACGTTCAGCGAGAAACCACCAATCAGAAGACTGTGTTTGTTTGCTTACAATAATCTATAAATATCTGTTGATTTCCTAAATAAACGATCTGTTGCCTGGCCCTTGTCTTCTGTTGTTACAATAGTTGTTACAATAATGAACTTAACCCTAACTGGCTTCAACGGCTCATGGATTGACCTGTTACCACCCAGGAAATAATTTTCTTGACTTAGAATATGCAGATGATATTGTCCTCCTAGGTGAAGACATTGACAAAGTACAGAAACTATTGAACATCTTGTGGAGCAGAAATCTTCGAATGTTTGACATACGATTCGCTCTTGTCAAATGCAAGATACTAGAGGATTGGACTACATCGACTTGTAGCTTAACGGCAAGCAGTAGTGAAGTGGTACAGCGTGTTGATCACTGACGAAATCTCAGCACGGATACAAAAGGTTTATGTGGTATTATTTGCCAGATTACACCATCTTTGACTTTGTAGACGTGACATCCAGGTGTGGCTGTCAACCAAAGGGTGTGTGTGTGCTGCTCAGCAGCACTTCTCTCCGTCCTCATTTATTACTATCAGAAAATGTCATTCAAGGTGGAAGATACGAAAAGGCTGGCTAGCTGTTTTAACTCATAGATGTCTGCGTACTATCTCTCATGTGTGTTAGGTGGTATAATAAGGTGAGCAATATAGGGGTTAGGTTTCGGTTGAGTGATAAGTGAGGAGGGAAAATCAATCGATGAGGTTTCGAAGTTACACTGATGATTGAGATGGTTAGGATATGTGCTACACAAGCCTAATCATCGATAATGTGAGCCGACACAAGATGGATCAAGTTGGAAAAGAGCTTGTGCTGGTCAAACCAAAACATGGCTTCATCAGTCAATGAAATCCATAACAACAGTTAGTTTAAGCCAGTCACATAGAGAAGCATAGACTGCCTGCCTACCTGGTTGGCATTCTCAGGATGATGAGAACCAAGGGGTGGAGTCCATTGGTGATATGGCATAAAATTATCCTTTTCAATAGCACAGATGCATTCACTCTTTGTCATTTATCATATCCAATAAAACTCTATTGTTCTTCCGTATTACTATTCTTTTTGCCTCACTCACACTTTTGTTTATTATCTCTCTTTTCTTGCTTTGTGTGGTACATGGAGGGGGAGTGGGAACTGGGACTGCTGCACATCTGTGCAAACATTGAGACCAGTCAGTCAGTTAGTACAGCTAACGATCCTACCCCCAGGAAAGTCAATTTAGTCGCTACAGAAATCCCAAAGCATATGCAAAATATGGAGTGTTCCGTGACTGTACGTGTGTGTCTCAAGGTAGTTTCGGACAGTAGAATAGTGGAACGCAGAGATTGGGTTTACTGCGGTTCAAACCATAACGAATAACTTTTGGTCGCCGCAGATAGTGTATCATCAACCTAACAGCAACAAAGGGTTCCTTGATATTACACTTAGTTAAATGTTGAAACCACAATGTATTCAAAAAGAAAATTGTACGAGGATAAATATTCATCCTACACAGTTGACATCCCTGTAGAGTGAGCTGACTGGTTGCCGGCGCTAATCGTGCACATTACGACTCTATTTGATATAATAATCCAAACTGACTTCGGTTAGAGAACCAGTGAAAACCAGGGGATTACTCAACACCCACTTCGTCCTTGTTTGGGACTCTTCAACAGCATACGACTGCCACCCCACTAGAGATCGAACACGGGGCCTTCAAGCAACTAGACGAATCCCTGCAAAATGTTTAATTAAACAAATAGCAACCAACAACAACGGATCAGATCATTCTGAATTAATCTTATTTTTTTCATATTGCCAAGTCATATTTTGGCGTATAGTACTGATAAGATTTACCAGTAGTATATAATGAGACGTTTATCGACAAACACAAAAGCATCAAATAGAGGGAGAGATAGATTTGACATCTAGGAGAGTAAATGAACAATCGGTATTGTGGTGAAACATGGGAGACACGAAAGAGAAGACTAAGAAGAAGATCTGGGCAAATGACTGTTTTTTTAAATATATTTGATTGATATATAAACATTCTTATTTAAGGGATTTATTACTTCTATGTACTAACAATGTTAGGTTTACATTTGAAGGCGGTTATTTCCACTAAGTTGATGGTGTTGCTATGGGAAGTCCGTTAGGGCACCCTATTTAACAGATATTTATATGTCGTACATTGATAATTTATCGGAGGATTTAATCGAAAATGTGCCACTTTATAGAAGGTATGTAGATGATAATGTAATCATCAGTGATAAGTCTTGTTCTGCCACCTCAATTTTAAATCGGACGATGAATGAAGTTCAGAATAGCATATCACTGTTTATCTTTCCTAGACATATTGCTTAGTCGAACGCCTGATGGATCAATAAAACGATCTATTTATAGAAGACCTACTTGGACAGGATAGTATCTTAATTACCACAGTTTCTGCCCTGTTCGGTACAAAAGAGCCTTAGTCAGCTATGTGCCTCTTCAGTAGAATCCAACGAATATGCACTGAAGACAAACGCACTTGATGAAGAACAAAGAAAGTTGACACAAACTCTGGTTGATTACAATTATCCAGACAAGTTCATCAGGAGATATAAAGTAGTCAGAACACCAAGACCCAATCTACAACTCACCCCTAAGAAAGACGTGTACATCTAGCTACCCTATATGGGGTATTCTCTTCCTTATCACGTCAGTTGTTACTATTACTACTCTCACTTTTAATTGTCTTCGGTATTATTTCACTTGTTCCACTTGTCATTCTAAATCAATTCCTTTTTACAACAATAAATTCTATGCGATTAAATTTCACACATTACGTAACGTTTTTATTTTATTCGATTTGTCTACTAATCCTATAATTGAACACCCTTTTTCAAGTTCTATCCATCCTATGAATTATTCAATATATGACATTAATTTGCTTTGCCACTTGACATTTAACTACGATTATAATCACAAACATTTTAGTTTTAATTGCATTTCATATTATTATTATTTTATGCATTCACACCTATGTTTCAATTCCCTCACCGAATATAACTTCTTAAAACCATATATATACGTTTGTACAGCTTGATGATAAAATCGTTGAAAAGAGTCTCTTCGTTGAATCATTTGTTTTGATTTTCAAAATGTAATCACACAAAATGTCAACTGTTTTGAGCAAAGGCACATGAGTAGTGAATAACGAGTTTACATCAAAAGAGTACATATTCTTATTCATCATAATATTAATATTACTATCGTTCGGTACAAAAGAACCTTAGTAAGGTGCCTCTTCAGGAGAATCCAACGAATATGCACTGAAGACAGACACACTTCATGCGGAAGAAAGAAAGTTGACACAAACTCTGGTTGATAACAATTATCCAGACAAGTTCATCAGGAGATATAAAGTAGTCAGCGGAACACCAAGACCCACCCTCCAACTCACCCCTAAGAAAGACGTGTACATCTAGCTACCCTATATGGGGCATCAAAGCAGCTTGATAACTAGACAGAGATTGGACGCTGTGGTTAAAAAGACTTTTTATGCAGCTAATATCATAATAACAGAGAATGTAAAACCAATATATCTACCTAAGCCCTTTGAACATGCAAAAAATGATGTCACATCCCACTGTCTCTACCAATTTGAATATACGTGTGGAAACGCATACATAGGGAGGACTCATCGACCTCTACAAGTAAGGGCATCAGAGTATATTCCTAAATGGCTCCAAAAACAAATAGAATGTTCGAGAACTAGCTCTTCTATTGTGAAACATATTATAGAGATAGGACATAAAATTGACGTTAACAGATCTTTTAAACCTATCTAAAAACGTGTTTGGGGTGTATTCTGAAGTTTGTGGAAGCCCTAGCTGGCAATTAGAAAGTTTAAACCGCCTTTATGCATTCAAAAACAATTCGTCATCACATTGAACCTTTCTTAGTAAACTTTCTTTTGATACCATAACAAATGTATTATTACCTCTAATATTTGGTTTAGTGATGATCTTCATAGTTATTTTGACCTTGAATATGTCCTTTTAACTTGACCTAAGCAGTCTATTTTCTCATCTCTTAACTCCTTATTAGTTTCATATATACATATTCCTATGACAAGTCCGTGGGTGATCAGATTGTTCGAAATGTGTTGCGCAAATACAACAATACACGATTCAGACAAATTACATGTTCTTATTGCTTTATCTAAAATAAACATTCTATTACCAACCACTCTTCTATTCTATCGTTACAAAAAATAATTAAGTAAACATTTTTATCTATTTTTTTTTACGCCCCATGCTCTCTCTCTCTCCGAAATGAAACAGTAAACAAAAACAATAAGTTAAACATACCATGTATGCGCACGAGGCAGTTGATCTACAGAGCCCCAACATTCAACAGTGAATTTTTGTGGTCCACTTGAACCCCATAGCTCAGCGAAACCATTCATTGGTACACGTGATGTTCCAGTGACAAATTGTAATAGTCGACTTCTTAATTCATTGGTGAATGTGTAAATAGCCTTTTTAAATGTATATATATGACAAAGGAAAATAAAATTTCAAATCAATATCTGATTATTTAATTTAAGTAAATTGGTGAATGGTGGGTGACTAGCAATGGGACTCGAAGCATATGCGCACAAGGCGCTGACGACATGTCAACCAGAGACCGATTACAACAACACTTCGGTCCAATCAATCAATAGTCAACGAGAAAGTTCAAATTGAATTATATCATTACACTGATACCCATTCGTTGCGTAAGAAAGAAGTGGCTCTCGTCTGCCTGCCTGTCTGTTTTCGACACAGAACTTTGCACCGATGTGCAGCATTTCAAGTCGCTACACTCCCTCCTTGTAGCACACAAAGCAAGAGAAGGAAGTAGGAGAAATGCATAATATAGACAGTAAACAGAGGTGTGAGACAAAGGAATAGTAATAACGAAGAACAAAACAGTTCCACTGGAAATCATAAGTCACAAGGAGTGGATGCATCTGCGCCACTGAGAACGATTTTGAGCCATATCACCAGTTGTTTCCAGCCTACATTGGTTTTTACCATCTCGAGGACCCCAATCAACCAGGAAGTCGGTCTACACCTTCCTACGTGACTGGCTTTAACTAATTGTTGTGGATTTCATTGACTGGTGCCATGTTTTCGTTTGACCGCCGCTAGCTCTTTTCCAGCCTGGCCCTATATCAGCTAACATTGCCCGTCGAGGAAGGCGATGACTAGGCATACATAACACATGTCCTAACCATCTTATTCGATATAATTTCACAACCTCGTCGATTTATTTCCCCTACTTACCTAGCACTCGACACCTAACCTCAATATTGCTCACCTTATTATACCACTTAACACGGGAGATAGAACGCAGGCACCTATGATTGAAGGCAGCTAATGTTTTCATGTCTTGCACTCTCAATGGCCAGGTTTCACTTACAAGCATTAAGGAGGACGGAGAGGACTGCTGAGCAGTACACCCGCCCTTTAGTGGCTCTCGTGACCTAGCCCAAATGGTTCAGTGGATAACGCTTTGGCGTTTGAAAGGATGGGTGCACTAAGTTTGAACCCCAGTGGGAAAATTGATATTAGACGGTTGGAGGCAATCGGCCAAAGGAAGCCTTACTCGACCTAGGTTTCGTGCTAGTTAGCACATTATAGTAATTATTAACTAGTATCCAATGAAAATTATCCAATACAGTCCTACAGGAGATCAATAGCGAGCCCGAATAGCTCACTGGGAACGTCTCTAACTGTAGCACTGGGTGACGCAGGTTCGAATCTCAGCAGGGACATGAGTTCCTTCAAGGTGATTGCAGATAAGCCTTGCTGATTGATGGTGAGTGCCAACTAGCACGAAACCTAGATCGAGCAAGGCCGATTGCCTTCAACCATCTAATATTGTAACAACAGAAGACAAAGGCCAGGCAACAGATCATCTATATGTTAACTGTATCCGCCTACGCAAAGTCTGCTGTGGTCGGTTTTGCATCAGTCTTTGTTCATATTTTCTCACGACAAATCTTGAGAACGTAAACATTGACGTAAATTACTGTCTACCAATTTGGCTAGTAGACAGCTCTCACCACACTCGTCCCCCCGTCAAATAGTTTGGACTGAAGTCGGCTTGATCTTCTTGGTGCTGGCGTCATCGTTGGCTTGTCTCGCTCTATCCATTTCTGGAGCTCGCTGATGTTCACCCGCTTCTCTTTGTTTGCATTTTTGATGGTATATACGTGCCCCCGTCTCGCTGTGACCGTGTATGGTCCTTCCCACTTTGGCAGCAGTTTCTGAGACCCTAGCACGTATCCACCGGTGTTTCGCCTATCTCTACATTTGACTTGATCTCCGATCTCGAATGCGGGGTACTTCTCCTTTACCCTCAGTTTGGCTTTCACAGCGTCCACTTTCTGCTTTCGTTTTACGTTGTTGATGGCTTCTTTCCGCTCCGTCCGCCATCTCGTCATACTCCAATGCTGATGGAGGGGCCAGGTCTTGTTATGTATCGGTAGTCGTGGTTTCCTGCCATACATCAACTGAAACGGTGCTAGCACAATCAGTGGAAGCTCTGTCTCCAAGTTACCGCCCTTTGTGGCTCTCACCACAATATAAGTAAGCGAACTGTACGTAATAATGACTTAGGAATTTGACGTGTCAATTATAACTAATTGCCACCACACTGCCTCTCATTTCACAAGATTTTGTGTAAGTGAATTTCAGCCTCGCTCGTTTGCCATACAAACACTGACAAAAAAGAGAGACATTATGACAGTCAGTTAACCAATCAATATGACCTGACCTTGTCTCTAGTGGTTATCATGTGATTATTGGTGTTACCTTCAAGTTAAAACTCCCACCACTTAAAGTTGACCTTGGAAGAGTGTTGTTTTCCAGCTTTTTTTCTCTCACATGTATATGTGTAAGTAAATGTAATCCATACATCAATATATTGCTTGAAACGTCTTTGTCCTTTCTCCTTGATCGACAGTTGCGCGCCTTTGTGTAATTGTATTATTTCCTCAATATTTTCGAAATAGATAAGGTTTTCGTTAAGTCAGTCAGTCAATCACCTGGGTTGTGTGTTTTTTAAAACTTTATATCATCAGTACTAATGATGAGAGTTAAAATTTGTAGGAAAATTTAATCCTACAAACACTATTACTGCTTATTTTGTCACCACCTGATAACACCAGTCTGTTATTCTCTACGTGAAAATGTATCCACTGCATAACTAATTGACCATTAACTGTAACGATGACACAAATATGATATTTTATTATTGTGACGAATTGATAAGAAATTGTTGGAAAAATAAAATAAAATATTCATTCAAATTGAATTTTAATGCATGATACAGAAATATATTTCACATTACCAATCAATCAAACTCGAAGATTTCCAGGCAAGCGAAAAACAACAAACTGACTGAAGATGCAGCCAGCGAAGACAGGACTTCAGGTGAACATAAAGAAGGTGGAGGTGATGAAGATAACCAACCAACTAACAGTAATAACAACAACCAGCACCAATTACCATCAACAGGAGAGATTTGACACAGGTTACTTCCTTCACCTACGGCACCAGGAAGCACGGTTTCAACCACAGGTAGGCGGGACGGATGAAGATGTAAAAGCTAGCCAGCCAGAGAGGATCGGAAAGGCAAGATAAGCCTTCGTTAATGTGAAAACAGTTTGCAAATCTTCCGCTTCACTCAGTCAGCCAGCATAAAGAACAGGATTCGGATTTCTCAACTCAAATGTGAAGTCAGTCAGTCAGTCAGTTCTTCTATATGGGTCAGAAACTCGCACTGTGCCTCACGAAGACCATTTTTCCAACAGGCTACTACTGCAGACGTTTAATCAACAGCTGTCCCCCTTGCTGGTTCCATACTGAAACTATAGGAACCACCCACTCTACTCAAGAACTTATTATTCAACAGATATGTGGATGAAAATGGAGATGGATCGGACACAGACTGAGTGACACTGTACAACAGGCCACAACGTCACTCGAGCGGAGATCGAATAGGAAACGCTAAGTTTGGCTTAAGTACGACATGTTATCAGCAAAGCGCATCTACGCCATCGTAGACATTCAAACGGACAACAGTCAATGAATTGCAGTTTAAAGAAACCTTACCTTACACCACTGGAGCAGCTGTTTCATCATCACAAAAGATAACAATAAAAAAGAAACAACAACAATTTTCATGAATTACCTTCCATAAATTCACAATCACAGGATGATTTGCATGATATTCGCCTTTATACAGAGTGTTAGCTTTCCAGTCGGTTACACTGATATCTTGTAGACCACACATTAATAATTCTAATTCATTAGCATCAAATATCTGCAATGCTTCCAGAGGTATCAAATCACTGAAACCTTCAAGAAATGCGCACATTTGTTTTTCTACACGTGATACAAACCGCCAATTTATGATGCGTCTATATAGACACAGAGAGAGAGGAAAAGAAACAAGATAATAATTTGCTTACAAAACTGAAATTTAATGCAACAGAGCTAATGACATTCAAGTGTTGGTTGGTTCGCACAGATTTCTTGTTGTTGGTGTTGTTTTGGCTACATTGAAATTTATAAATTCTCAAGAATTAAGTCATAGCGATTCTGTTCGCTTTAGGTTACACCAAGGATTGATATCAGCTGGAGCGGGGGAACCATTGAAAACCAGCATGGAGTACTGGACAGCTGTTTCACCCTAGTTCGGGGCTCATTGGGAGTATACACCCCCACCGCTGGGGTCTAGAACCCAGGGTCTACTGGTTATAAGGCAAGCCCGTAATACCATTTAAGTACTGGGACGCCACAACTCAATGGCCAGCTCATGAATCCCAACTCCTGCCAATTACCAATACATTTGGCAGGCATCACATTTATTTTCAAGAATTAGGGAATTAGGGATTCTATTTGTCTCAGGCGAGGGCTAGTAATTGGCTATACATGACGAAGTTGCCTGGAGTGAGTTCTAGTGAGAAGTCGTGACCACTGAGGTCCATCCAAGCGAGAGTGAGAATGTAGTTCCCACCGATGACATTGGTTGGTGGTCACGCTAAAATCATGAATTGGTGTAGAAGTTAGGATTCATGGACTGGCGGCCATTGAGAAGTCTGGTCCCAGTGGCTGTATGGTATACGATTTCACCTTGTAACCGGAAGGTCCTAGATTCCAAAACTAGTGGGTCCGTACTGATGATGAGTCCTAAACTGGGGCGAAATAGCTGTCCAGTATTCCCTAGTTTTCAATGGTTCTCTGACTGATATCAATCACAAGTGTAACCTGACAGACATTTATAAAGGCCAATTAGTTTAAGGGAGTTATTCAGTCTATTTCTTCTTTACGAACAGGATGATACCTCAAATAAATGAAACTATTCATCATATTACTCTAGGGATTAAATAACGAGGATGCAAGAAAACACCCTCATAAACGACCTGGTAGAGCCAAGGCCGGGTGGACTACGGTCCTTACCTCGAAATCCTCTTATGTGGCCACGCGACTTCATGAGGCAGGGTTATTCATCACAAAAGTGAAAGGACGAATACGAATATCCAGCGCTTACATCTGAGCTGGTGAACACGTAGGAAAGCTAAGAAACACTGACTATAAACCTATGCTGTACACATAGGATCCAGAATCCGATCGTATCAAACGGTGTATGAACTTGTTTCAGTCACCGGAAACCGTGGGAATACACCTCCTGATGCTGGTCTACTGTGTCTTGTAGATCAGATTTCAAGAGCCAACGGCTCAAGAGATAATCCCTTGAAATAATATCCAGGGTCCGAGGGCAGTATATTAACTCTCGCGCAAAATATGAGATTTTGTGTGGTGCGTCTTTTGGTGCCCATAATATATGAATTTTGTTACAGGGATTTTCCTCACAAGCTGAAATCCGTTAGAGAACTATTGAAAAAACTAAGAGTACTGGACAACAGTTTCGTCCTAGTTTGTGACTCCTCACCAGTCAGCATCCACTGGGATTCCAATCCAGGACATTCCAGTTACAAGGCGACGGGAGTTTGCGTTTTAATAGCAATAATAATACGATAAGTCAAGTGCGAAAATAAAGAATTAGGGTATTCATTATTCACTTACTCTATATACTGCGTTTTATTACTATTTGTCACACGAATATTTCTACCGTCTTTAACAAGATCCACTTCAACAGTCTCACCGAAATGCTCTTCTTCAACTGACATTGATAAATCTAGCGATGCAGGATCTTCTTTCAGAATATACTTCAGACTTCGATAGTACTCAGAGTCAACAGCTTCCATATCTTTCAGTGATATTGTCTTACCAAGCATCATTTTATAAAAAGGTCGAATGAAAAATCCATCCACCAGTTTACCGTGATATACTGCCATACCGACAACACGACCAATAAATTTAAAATATTTTAAGTGTTCTTCATTAGCTACACCCGAGAGTGGATTGATCTGGAGGGTATAATTATCTCTGTTTGAAATAAAAAAAATAATAATAATAATAAAACGAAATAGAATAAATACCCCCAGGTCAGCAAAGAATACTGTCACATCCTAACTTTACTTCAAAGCTGTATAATTACACAATGTTGCTTAATTGAATTTTAGATTTTCAACCTGAGACCACCGAGCACTACTTCGGTTCAATCAATCGATGGGTGGCCCTCGTGGTCTAGTGGATAACGCTTTGGCGTTTGAAACTATGGGCACTGGGTCCGAGCCTCGGTTGGAACATTACCACTGACTCACTGGGGAATGTAGGTGCATCCGGATGACGAGTCCAGAACAGGACGAAATACGCTTCATCCTGGATTCCACTGCTAGTCACCATCCACCAATTAAATTCTAATGTTGCTTAAAGGTGAGGGGAATGCCACTAAAGTCAATTGCTCATATCATTTGGGAGCCCAGAACATATGAAATTACATACTAAAAAAAGATATTGTGTAATGCCACTGACTACTGAGAGACACTCATTACTTATTGTCTTTGGATTACGTTAATGTAAGTATAGAATTTGGGCACTGTGGTAAAGTGTAATTCCATATTAGATACGTTTATTTTAAGTATCACACAGCGATGGTGTATTGACAACTGGATGATGACAAGGTTTCGAGTACAATTTATTGCTCATAATTATATCGATTTAAGTCACATGGTTTCACAATGTCTTATATATATACATATATATTGGGGGGGGGGGGGACTTTTTATGAAGTTCCGTGTATATCCATTCTTTTGAGAGACGTCCATGAGATATCTTTCTCCAATTTTCCTTAAGGTGGACTGATGCAATGGTTTCTGACCCTCTTGAATAGTGTTTGTATGCAATTCCTTTTGTGTGTTATTGGATTGTGGCTGTTGTAACTCAGTATTTGGTCTGTGTGAGTTGATTTTCTATAAACTTGAGTTTCCATTTCCCCTGTGGTTGTTCGCTTGACTAAGACGTCCAAAAATGGGATTTTGTTCTCGGATTTCTCTTCTCTTGTGAATTTGATGTCGTTGAAGACGTTGTTTATTAGGTTTTGTGAGTTTTATCTTTTCGAGCCTTTACATCACTGCTTCTGTAGAAGCAGTCGAATTGGACAGCGTTCAAATATTAGACAGAGAAAACGACAAGAATGCCAGAGAATTTTTAGAAGGTGTCTGGTATTCCAGTGAATCATCAGTCAATAGACACATCGAGATTGACAAAATTTATCAACCGATAAGAAAGAAACCTCACACAAACAAAGGGTCAAAGTTCAAGTCAAAGAAACAATCAGTTTCAATACAGGTAGTCTAGAGGGTGTGAAAACACACAAAAACAACCAAAGAGTCACGTTGAAGGTCACCAGGAGAAATGATCAATAAAATCGTGGAGAAATCTAAAAGCTCACTTCAACGAGTTGAAATATGCGCTGAAGATGTCGCCTAGTAGGGCGATGAAAGCTTCGCAAATGAACTATCCAGCTCGGAGAACACAACCACATCAAAATATGTTGTTTGTTAATTTATGGGTATAATGCAAATAACCAGAATATCCTGAGGATTTAATCCCTTGTGGGGTGGATGCGTACTACCACCAATGAGCTGCGCAGTACTCCCTGTCTACCTGGTTTTCAATGGTTCTCTCAGCCTGATATAGTCAATCTGTGATTAAAAACTTGAAATAATAACGATAAAACTTTCTTTTAAAGGAAAAAAACAATTAACTTACGCAGCTGAATACTCGAATAGACCATAATAAGGATTGAACATTTCACGTGATAATAAGAAAAACCATTCTCTCTGTACACCACCATAGTCTAAGCCTTTCTCACCGATAAACTCAATCCATAATCTGCAAAAAAGGATTCACATATACACACATACAAACATGCATAAATACATACACATATATTGATAGGCGTGTAATTGAGAAAGCAACACTGTCGATTAGATAATCACAGAGAAATATAACCAGATGGCTTTTGTGCATAAATTACTTCTAACAATAGAGATTTAAATGTTATCTCCGACTGATCGATATATATATATACGTGTGAGATAATGGAAGGTTTCAAATCTGAGAAACACTGGATAGCACACTAACTAACTACTACTACTGTAACGACATAGGAGAAGAGCCAGGCAACAAACAGATCAATTTTCTGTAGTTTGGTTTGTAAGGGTTAGTTCTGTTTTTACGAGTTGACCACGGATTGGTATCAGTTAGATAACCAGTGAAAACCAGCTGAGAGTACTGGACAGCTGTTTCATCCTAGTTTCGGAATCATCGGAAGTACGCACCCACCACAGGGGTTCGAACCCAGGACCTTCCGGTTACAAGGCAAGCTGGCTTGTATACCATTCAGCCACTGGGACCCAACTCCTCAATGGTCAGTCTATGGATTCTAACTTCTACCAATTCGTGATTTAGCGCGATCCCAACCAGTGTCGTCGGTGGGACATCCATCCTCACACGTGATATCTGGATGGACCTCACTGGTCCCGACTTCTCACTAGAACTCCAGGAAACTCCATCTTGCAGCAAGTCAATAGTGAGCTTGCCTTGTAACCGGAAGGTCCTGGGTTCGAACTCTGGCAGTGGGTGCGTATTGCCGATGATTCCAAAACTAGGCTGATGAAACAGCTGTCCAGTACTCCCTGGCTTTCAATGATTCTCTAACTGATATCAATCCGTAACCAACTCGTAAAAACAAACAGATAGTTTATTGAGAAAATCAACAGATATTTATAGATTTTTATGTATATTATTATTATTAGCGTTATTTTTAGCAGAGAAGTAACCTCTTCTGATTGGTTGTTTTTTGCTGAAGGTTATTCTGTACTACTTGTGAACGTTTCTTAGAAAGCTAAGCTATATATCTGAGAATCTTGCTTGCACACGTTAAATCTGCTGTGATTGGTTGGTGAGTTCATCAAGTCCATCAAGAATGATCCACAGAAAAGCTACTTGGAATGGTCAACTAACAAGCTTCTATAGCTGAGTACCCATTCAACAAAAGCGGAATTTAATTAAATCACTTGCCACCCGCATCTGACTCATCTGCAGTGTTGATGTTCTAGAAACAGAATTAGATATTCTCAGAGAAATCTTCATACAAAATGGATACTCAATAAGATTTATCGACAAAAATATGAAACCAAGAATTCGGAGAAATGAAACTTTAATTGCGCCTGAAAATAAACTCTACATGAACTTGGATTTCAAGGGAGATTTAGCAAGAGAAGGATCACATCATCTCTGAGAATAACATTCTGTGCAGCAACACTAAGAATATTGTTCTCCAGTCGCCCATTGATCTGCAGAAGCCTCAAGGACAAGGTCCCGCATCTGACCACTTCTATGTGCATATATCAGTTCAGCTGCTACTGTGGACCCAGCCAGGTACATCGATCGTTCGACGCGCACCCTGTCCAAGAGGATTCAAGAACACTATCCAGTATGGTTGCGCAAAGGCAATGCTGCTGCTGGATTCAACATAGAACTTGCCATCGAAGTGCAGCAGTTCGAGTTGTCACGTTCCAAATAGCACACAAAGGTAGACAAGAAAATGAGTGAAGAGAATCAATAGAATTTAGACAAGTATAAGAGTGAAACAGAATGAGTAATGGTAAAAAGGAATATGAAAGATTACAGAGATTGAATACATCTGCGACAGCCATTGACAACGATTTTGAGCCATGTCACCTATTGTCTGTCTCCAGCCATTGATTCTTAGAGTCCCGAGGGTGGGCCCCAACCCGGAAGTCTGCATCTCCCTACCTGACTCAGTTTAACTGTCAGGGATTTCATGGATTGATGAGGCCATGTTTTTGTTTGGCCACCTCTTACTCTTTTCCAACCTGCACCTATATCAGCTAGTAATGCCCGTTGGGGGAGGCGATGGTTAGGCATGCGCAGCACGTGACAATAGTGGTGCAATAAGGAGTGCGATAATTGAACACCTGGTTAACACTGATCATTCCATCTCAAAAAACGCCTCCTGCTTCAAAGTAATCTATAGAGTCAAGAATAACCTATCAAAGGCAATACGGTTTCGTCTTTGTATCGTTGAAGCTCTGACCATTCACATAGAAAAACCAGAGCTGTGCATACAAAAGAGAATTACGCAACTACTTCTACTCTCATGGTAACAACTTTGTTGATTTTGATGACTTAATTTTGTGTCTTTGCCTCTTCTTTAATTGCTTATAATTCTTGTATTCATTTAGAACTCTTACGTAATTTCACATTCTCTACTTTGTTCCTATGTGTATCCTGAGTAAAACTAAATCATCAAACTATTCATATTATTACATAACTTCGTTTTTAACAACTGTTTGTGACAACTCATCACCTTTGTTACTACCCTAATTTCACTAACACCTGATTTTCTTGACTGATTTTGTATAACGTAACTCGAATTACCAATCTTCATCTGTTTAGTTAAAATAACCATCACCAATTGTATTCTTATTCTTGTTTGACAAACTTAATGTACACATACATACAAAATAACGCGTATATATTTGCGATTATTCAGCTAAGAAAATGAATTCGCCGTCGAAAAGAGACTCTTCGCTGAACTATGCGTGTTTTGTTTTCATTAATGCCTGGATAGGGATTATCCACCCATGAATATTGTTGTTTTTTCTCATGACCCCGATTGGGGACGTAAACGGCATTGACGTGAATTGTTGTCTACAATATCGGCTTTTTCACAGCCATCTCTCGCCCCACACTACTACTACTACTCAACAAAAGAGTATTGTGATTTCGTGTACAAAACAGGAGATATTCTCCAACAAAAATTAAGTGATATATGCCTATCCGTAGAGGTAGATATGGGGAACGGAAGAGGCTACAAAAACTCAGGAAAACAAAATATAATACACCACCACAGACAAACAAATCAGGTCAAACTATTGAAATATATGTTCACCTCCCACAATTTTTTCGTTCAGTTTGCCTATCATACGATGAAAAAAATCTTTTCATAGATAATAGTCAAGGGAGAAATGACTGACGACGTTATTTGTGTTCAGGAAATTTACCCTTGAATTATCTGGATTATTTGTTAAGAGTTCTGTGGATAAGACCTCACGCTAATAAAAGAGTAACAGAACTCTATAAGAACAACTTTAGTCCGTTTAGTACGCCACATTATTGTTGTTCCTTGGGGGTTCCAAGTAAAAAATAGGGCTTCTACAGAACGTCTAAACTTTGTCCTATTCTTTGAGGTTCTATTCAGCTGGCCGCATGATTACCCATAGTGTCTCATCTCCTCCTCCCACGATTATCTCCATGGCGCTCTCGGCCACACGCTCAACTCGTCATTTCCTGTTTGCGTTCCACTCGAGCGATGGCCTGCATTGAGCGCGGTGTCATTCGACCGTCTCCTGAGGGTGCGCCCAGTAATCCATAGTCACCGCCTAAAGTTTCCTGTTGCTGATGCTTCCTCGTCATTTGATCTTCAATATGGAGCCAGCGAAGGCAGCTGTTGATAACAGTCTGCTTTCGTGACGTGAACACCAAGTTTCTGACCCATATATGAGGAACTGACTTCACATTAGTGTTCCATACCCGAATTTCGTTCTTTTTGCATGTTGCCTGAGTGCAGATTTCCAAACTGATTCCAGGGTGTTGGAGGTGTACCTTGTCTTTCCGATTCTGGCTGAGGTTGACATCTTCATCTATTCCGATTGTAGTTGAAACAATACCTTCTAGATAAGTGGAGGAAGTGACCTCATTTATTTTTCTCGGTTTATGTTGATTGGTGTCGTGGTTGTTCTTGTTTGGTACGCAATTCATCCTTTCATTCCACAATATTAAGCTGCTATATGTGAAACCAACCAGCCTATACATTCTATGATGACACATATTACTGAATAAAATGAGTAATTGAAATGTACTCACATTAATCAGCAGTGATTGCTGACGAAATGCGAACAGCCAAACACTGAACAAACACGTTCTTCACTTCTTCAAGTTTGAACACATCAGCAGTGTGCCTACTTGTACAACCTCAGCTCAGGAGAACTGAATCCGTTCAAACTAATGTTGAAGGACCCATTTCTATAAAACTAATTATTCATATAATAATGCACACGACGTTTATTCGAACTGGTCTGCATTTGACGAGAGAAAACAATGGTGTCGCTGCCTCTGCCGGAGATGAAGGTGCCGTGGCCACAGGTGTTCGAGGAGGGAGATGTGCGGACGTTCCTCAGGGATTTCGAAGCTGTCGCGGAGCTGGTTGGAGTGCAGTAGCAGAAGGCGAAGCTGGTTGTCCTGGGAACGCTGCTGAGGGGCCGCGCGAAGGCTGCGTACGACAACGCTCGGGAGCTGGAAGGTGAGGTGGCGTGGGACAAGGTCGTCGAGAGGCTCGTGTGCGAGTTCGACAGCCCTGCGGATAGACAAGAGGCGCTGCAGAAGTTTCGGACGCTGAGAATTGGCCAGGATGGGGAGCCGTTGGTTGGCAGAGGAATGGAGAAATACGACCAGAAGTATTATATTACATTTTTTTATTAATGTTTATTCACAGACTATGCACATAATACCTTGTGATCCTGTTTCGTAATCGGTGGAGGAAAAAGCAATCCTTGTATTGCAAATACGTTTTCTGATATTCCGCGTTGGTTACTGTGCATAGTATTCGGTATGTTAGACATAGTCTTCTGAAATCAGTGAGCATGTTCAGGACCTTTTGTAATCTGGACATTTGACACCAGCTTTGTACAAACATTCTGCTGTACACAAATGATATGGAAGAAGAGATGATACGGAGTAAAAGTATTCCCCAGAAGGTCGACTACAAAATAATCATATTTCCTGCAGAAACTCCATTCTCAGTAAGTTCGCTCACTGATATTTGCTGCTTTGAAGCAACAGTATTATGTTGTTAACAGTGTACTCCCTTGGGACTCCACTCGAGGGCTTTTTGGAGCGTGATATGTCTCTCAACAGTTCCCCCTTAGCCCGGGTGCAATCCAATTCCACTTTCTTCAGCGCTTATTTATTGGAATGTTACGTCCACCGACTGGTTCTTTGTTGTTCATTCTCTGCGGCCATCTGATATTCAGTATTGAAGCAAAGGAAGCTGTTGATGAAAATCTGAAGTGGTCTGTTTGAAAGGCTTTTCATTATGTGCACGTGGCAGTCTCTGAACCATATAGAAGCGCGAATTTGAAATTAGTGTTGAAGATCTGGATCCTGTTTCATATGCTGAATGCCACAATGATCAACTTTGATTACAAGGAATGATTCGCAGGGTTATAAGAGGTCGGAGAGAAAGTTGCTAGTAGATTCCATCATGCCACAAACGTCACCTGCATGGTAGTAAGACACTAAGCAATTCTCGTCATGGCGTTATGAATTTACTAACACTATACCTGGATGTGAAGTTTTATTTTCATCAACAGAAAGATGTCTGGTGACACTAAGGTGTCTCTATTGGATTACTAGAACGTCAAGGAGTGTTGCAACCCACCCTGTAGAAGGAATATTGTTAGTATTGTTGTTATTCCCTTAGGTTCCGAGTGGAACATAGAGGTTCAACAGCATATCTGGTTCATCGAGAGACACTGAACGAAAAACTCGGTAATATTTGTGATGTAATAAGCAGAAACGGATATACAAATACGTATGACACTTGTCATATTATTCTTAAGTGTTGCGTTTTGTAGAGATTTTATTTCATAGGTTCGAGGATTTCATCATGAGCTGACATCAGTTAGAGAATCATTGGAAAACCTGCCAGGGAGTACTGCCAGGCAGCTGTCTCATCAGCCTAGTTTGAGACTCTTCACAGTACGCACCCACCACCGCCAAGGTTCGAACCTAGGGCCTTCTAGTTACAAGGCGAGCTAGCTCGTAGACCATTAATCAGCTTGGACCTGATTCAATGGCCAGTCGTCCATAAACTCTAACTTCTGCCAACTCATGACATAGCGCGACTACTCCGCAATATCTTCTTTGATGAGTTACTGCCCCTCCTTCAACCTGCTGTACCCTACTGGTCCCGGCTTCCCACTAGAACCCCAGGTTAACCGGCTGAATACGTCCAGTCGCTAGTAAGCATCAGATTAATCATACTGTGTGCATAATTCTTCGAGATGTGATAACACTAACTGCGAGGTGAGAGCTGGCTACGAAAAAGCCAAAATTGTAGACAAAAATTCACGTCAATGCTGTTTACGTCCCGAATCGGGGTCATGAGGAACAAACAATAACAAAGCTTAACCTTGATGGACTCACCAACCAATCACAACAGACTTAACATGTGCAAATATGATTCGTAGATATATGGCTTAACTTTCTGAGAAATGGTCACAAGCAGTAAAGAATAACCTTCAGAAAGAAAACAACCAGTCAGGAGAGGTTGTTTCTCTGCTAACAATAACACTAATAATAATGTACATAAAACTCATCTATAAATATCTGTTGATTTTCTCAATAAACGATCTGTTTGTTGCCTGGCTCTTGTTTTCAGTCGTTACAACTGGACTCCTTCTACACAACATCCTATATGATTCAGTCAGTTTAAGTGGCTACTTTGAAAGTCATTAGAGAGTATTCCTTGAAAATATTCGTATGTTTGCAAAAATCAGTGCCCCAGATATAGTAAATTTACTCTATTTTCCCAATATTTAAGGATGAAGTCGGTGTTGCCGATTAATTTTGTCGTAGTGTTGCGTCAAAATGGTTAAATGAGAAACACGTTAACCACACACAGAAAACTAAAACTAATATCTGATAAGACAAAATAAAGCACAACACACATACACACAAATAGTTAGCAAATCTCACCTATGCATAAGAACTTCTGGTCTTTTAATCCCATAAATAAGTCGAAATGAATCTTCAAAAATACCCGCTCGAGTGACACGCAGTTCAAATTTCGCCTGTGGATCACGTGGTGCTTTAAGTCTTGATCGAAAGTAATCATATTTTTGTTTATAATTTCTTGAATACGGGACAGCTGGACCACCCAGTCGTTCCAGCCGTGGATCTTCCCATTGTGTAGTTCGGGCATCTATGATAAATCAAGTTAGAAAGAAAAAGAGAGAAAACCAACGCATGAGAATCAATTGTTACACTCTGTGCTGATGCAATTTATTACCACATCACAGAGCTGATAAAAGGCGGGAAATAGAAAATAACACTCATATAGCTAAAAGGGAAAGAGAAAGTTACAAAGGAAGAATAAACACAGGGCGAATAGGTGAGAGTATGACAGACCCAACCCTATAGTGATTTGATGGCCGGCTTAAAACTTGGGGCTACCAAAAGACCCCATCAATGTATATTGCATACAATTCCTCTTATTCAGTTTGTTTAAATCTCCCAAATTATGATCTCTAGTACTGTTGTTTACTCTTTTTTGTTTCCATTACGTTCCCAGTGGAACATAGGGCTTCAAACTAGAGGCTTGAAGTTTCGGTAGCAGTAGTGTCTATTTTTACGGGATAGGGTTGCTAGCCTCATGTGCAAGCTTTCCGCTTTACCAGTCTGATTACTAGCTTAGCGAGGTAAAGGGGTGTGTCGGCCCGGAATCGAACCGCGGACCACATGAGGCGTGGTTGGCGAGTACTCTACCGCAGTTTCCTCTGGTAAGTATTTAAAACATTTACAACCTGATGATTCTAAAGTTCCTACTAAACATGAGGTGTAAAAGCATTATCTTCGATGGATGGATGGTAGCCTCTCCAAATGCATGAGATGACCGTTCCTCAGTGGTGTCCTACGTCCACAAAATGTACTACTGAATTTTCTATAATTGGCATTCAATAAAATATCGTCATGTATTCCTCGTAGGAGGTAAAGAACACATAACACACAATGGATTGGTTTGAGCTTCAGGTCCGAAAGACAGAACAGATCTATTGTCAATAAATAATTCTTTTAACTCCAATATTGATAAGATTTTATTTGGATAAGTCACACAGTAATATTTACTGATGACCACCTTTCGAGCATAAGCTATTGCCAGTCATAATCATATCAAGTTACTCACTCACACAACTTTTTTTCCTTCATTTATATACATGTGTGGAATCGATTAGATATTGGAATAAAATTCAATATGAGATAACGTACATTCAGAAACAATAATGAGTCTTATTGACCAAATACAATCAGATGGGAAATAAGACGAGTGTTTCTATAGTTATAATAAGCAACATGTTAGAATAAAAATAATTGTGAAACTAGTAATGATAACATAAATAAGAGAGAATAGAAGGCATCTACTGTTATACCATATAAGGAGGGGACATCTGAGGTCCTATGTGGTGGGATTCTTAATAAAGCAGGAATCACAGTGGTGGCATTCAAACCTACAAATCCACTCAGCCAGGGCAAGCTCTGTAGGCTAAAAGACCTGGTGGAGCCAATTAGACAAAATAATATAATCTACAAAATACCCTGCAATAACCGTGAGTGAGGTCAGCTCTACATAGTTCAAACTAGTAGATAGGGTAGGGGTAATCAGATTGTCAGAACATAAGAATTTAGCTAAGGGAAGAATGGTTGACCCCAAGAAGATGAGTAATTTAGAAAAAAGCTCAGCAATAGCATTGCATGCATTAACACACAACCACATAATAGGGTGGGAAAAGGTTAAGATTCTAAGAAGTAATCTATGTAGGTGGAGAGAGAGGTTGATTACTGAATCCTGGTTGGTTCATCGAGTCTACACCCAACACATGCAACAGAAATGACTCAATGCAACTACCAGAGATATGCATGGAAGATATTATTACCACCAGTCAGTCAGTCAAATCAGAGGAGGATAGTAAATAATCTCAAAATTCTATTTCAATTCAATTCACGTACATCATAGCATTCTAACAAGTTACTTATTATAACTATAAAAAACACTCGTCGTATTTCCAATCTTATTATATTTGACTGATAACACTCTATATTATTATTTCTGCATGTACATTATCACATATTGATTTTTATTCACATGTCTAATCATCAGTTTTAACTCATGTATATAAATGAAGGAAAAAAGTTGTGTGAGCGAGTGACTTGATATGATTTTGAGTGGCAATAATTTATGCTCGAAACGTGGTCATGGTCATCACTTAATATTACTGTATAAGACTGAGTGATTCATCAAAATAAAATCTTATCCATAATGGAGGTAACTTCACAAAATGTCATGACCTCATTTATTATTTAGAGAGCTAAAAATTATTCAAAATATTTGAATACAACATGCAGACAAACTAGCGGTGAGTCATAGTTCAACTTCGTTGTTTTTTAAATTTGTTTATATTCAACATACACAAATGATCAGTAGAATTCGGTTGATCACACGACAGATTGAGACAGACAAGACAACGATAACAACAATAGAAATAAAAATTAAAAATTCCTATTTCAGTATATTGTAACTTAATATTCACACACAAGTCCATTGTCTACACACTCTGTGATGGCCATAAAATGAGTTAGAAAATGGACCTTTGAACAACCTTATCAGTAAGGTCTCATTTTATTGCCGGCATATGGATGACACCTTCATGTTTTGTGATAATGATTCGGATAGGAGTACAATTATTACTGAATACATTGATGTACATTCAGCTATGAAATTCACATGCAAAGAGGAATCCCAAAACAGAATGAATTGCCTTCCTAGATGTCCTCCTTACGAGAAAACCAGATGGTAGCATACAAAGAAATTTGCATAGAAAAAGTAATTGGACAGGACAATACACACATTTTCACAGCTTCGATCCTCTCCAGTACAAAAGAAATTTAGTGAAGACCCTGAGCCACAGAGTTAGAGCAATATGCTCAGAAGAAGTAATTGAAGATGAATTAAACATTGTATATGATACTTTGATCGAAAATGGCTATCCCGATAAATTTATCAAGAAACACATGACAAAGAAAGCGGAAAAGGACCAATCACCACCCGTAAACAAGAAGCCACTTTATACACGACTACAATTCAAGGGCGATGTACCAAGTGAGATAATTACCAGGAAATTAAGAAAATCAGTTCAAAGAACTTTTAATGCTGCGAAACTACAAGTCATATTTCCAAGACGACGGATGGTGATTCCTCGATTGAAAGACGAAGTACCTAGACTAGACACTTCTAATTCTATATACCAATTCAACTGAGCTTGTGGAGCGAGTTACATTGGGGAACAGTAAACAACAATAGGTAAAATGGAAGTGTTAACAAACTGTAAAAGTGGAGGTTGAGTGATTCCAGATTGTCTTAACATTTCGTAAAGTACTAGGTTAGACGGAACATTTTCTTAGAAATCGACAAGATATGGGATGACCAAGCATGGTGAGAGGATAGAACTATTCCGAAGTATTTATAATGCGCTTCATTTATTTTCTATTTTAGTGCCTTCTACGCTATAAGCATCATTTAGACGAACCAGTGCCTGTAGATAACGTTAGTGCTGTAAGATGAAGTCAACTGTTTCACATTCAAAGGGATTTAAGGTAAGATGTCTGAGAAAAACCTATTCAGTTTGGAACAGTCAGACTGGGACGAAACTGGCAGCATGACAGTCAGATCACCAGCATATTATGCAAAGTTTATTTCATCCGAATGAGGTACGTCATGTAGGAAAAAAGAAAAGGAGAGGGAACACCACCACCCTGAGGAATACCAGTTTCAGTAAACAAAGGTAGAGGAAGAATAGACTTTATATGCTACATTAGGAAAACAAACAACTGCCAAAATTCTTTAACTTGAATCACATCCTGAGGACAGACTTCAAGCTGATATCAGTTAGAGAACCACAGAAAAACCAAGGAGTACCGGGGGTGGTTACGTCCTCGTTTGCTACTCTTCAATGGCAAGGACCTATGACCTCCAATAGGGACGGCACTCTGAAACTCCACGATACGAGGTTAAATTTCATGAGATAAAATGAATTCGTTATTATTTCATAGGGTTCTCGTCAGCTGTATGCAGTTCGCTTAATCATATAACACGTCGGCAATCAATATGATGTAATCTGACACATATATATTTGAAATGAATAGTCAGTAAAATTCGCATGATTACGTCGCCAATTTAATCCGGGCATGAACCCACCATTTGAATTCCACAAAATTCATCTCTGCATACAATAAAAGTATGAAAATCAGTTACTTGGAACAGATTGCTTTTAGGTGCCACGTTGTCCAACCACACTTATAGTATTAGAGCTAACGATACTCATCAGTTGCCTGGGCTACAGTATGCGGAGCGGATTCCATTTCGAAAACCTACTCGCTAGATGTCAAGTTTTACACTAATGAGCCACATTTGGTATGTACAATATACGAATGCTTGTAATTTGATCATAATTTCTCCAGTAAAATTTGCACACAATTTCCGATATTTCAAGTTTGATCACTGGTTGATGTTATTTAGAGAACCACTGGAAAACCTTCAGGGAGTACTGGACATATGTTTCGACAGCCTAGTTTGGGATTTTTTAGTGGTAAGGAAGACTCGTAGACCATAAAGCCACTGGGACCCAACCTAATATCCAGTTCATGAGTTTCAACTTCTGATAATTCACAATGTAGCGCAACCACTAGCCAATGTCATCACTGGCGAGTATTTGTCCTTACACCCAGCCTGCTGTGTCTCACTGGTCACGACTTCCAACTAGGACCCAGGTAACTCACTACCTACCTGAATATGGCCAGTGCCTGCCTAGTGAGCATCAGATTAATATTCAAGTGTCGATTTGCAGGGATTTGGTTGGTTAGAAGATTTCATCATGAGGTGACATCGTGACCTAACTCAGTGGTTGTAAATGATCTACGAGCTCGCCTTGTACCTGGAAGGTCCCGGGATCTGGACCCCACAGTGGTGGATGTGTACTGATAAAGAGTCCATAACTAGGCTGATGAAACTATTGTAAAGTACTTCCTGTCCAATAGTTCTCTAACCGATGTCACTAGCTCATGATGATATTCATTCACATTTTGTAGTTCATCCAAAAATTATGTCACACAGCAAACTTATGAAATCTGCTATTCACACTGTCTGTAGCTGATGAGAATCGTATAAAACGAAATAAAATAAAATGAATTCATTTCATTCTGTAAGTTCTATCCATCATTCAGAGAAATGCTGGCCTATAAACCCCCATTGATGTAACACTAATTATTATATCATCAATCACCAGAAAGTACAAGAGAGACATAATAAAACATGTTGCCAGGATTATTATTATTATTCATCAAATAATCAAATTAGAACTTTTTTTTAAATGTCCGAATTCAAGTTCACACAAGATGCTTAGATATTTTTATGTCTTAAAACTGTTATCAGTCACGTACCAACAACTTAGGCTGAAGTACAAGTATTCACACTACTAGCATAGGAGAGAGACCTGGTGTTTTTCATATTGATTACCGATTAACCTTACCTAATTATATCTCCTGAAAGTAACATTAACATATTTTTTAAAAATTTTTGATTACAGATTGATTCCACACCGTATTTTTTGGTACAGCATGTGATACGGGTAGCTCAAATTTTGCAGGCCGACCATATCAGATATCAGGTGTGCGTCGGCATGGGATCGAACCCCTGATCATGTGTATGGTCGACGAGAGTCATAACCGCTGTGCCACCAACGCACACAAAAGAATTTACAACTTGACATTCCAGGCGTACAGCCAACTTATGAATGTGTTATTCTGGATGATTAGGGCGTCAGTCATTATCTGTAGCCGACTGTCTCATATTCGAATATTATGCCCTCTGAAATGCCTTGATCGCCATTCCACCCAGCCGTTTTGGTAATGAACTGATCATCAGGTGTACATGATGGAGAAGATTTATAGCTCAGGTGGATGATTTTGATGAAGTTGTGTCCTCTCAGCTGGATGGTTTATTCGCGAAGCTTTCATCGTTGTCCTACTTGGCAACATCGCCAGTGCATACTTCAATATTACTGTATAACACCAGTTGTGTGATTTATCGAAATAAAATCTTATCCATGATGGAGTTATGCTCTACCACAGTGCCCAATTTTTATACTCATATTATATAGATAAGTATTTTTTGATTTGACACTAGTAACTAGTGTGATGCGTCTAGTCCTCTCTTTGGTGCAGACTGAATTCTATCAGTCAGGTTGTAACGTGGCCACCATTCTAGGTAGCTCGCCATCACGGTGTACATTGTTTGTGATGATATTAGATGGTTGGAGGCAATCGGCCAAAGGAAGCCTTGGACCTAGGTTTCGTGCTAGTTGGCACTCATCAGTCAGCAGGGCGTATCTGCAACCTTGAAGGAACTCATGTCCCTTCTGAGAGAGGACTAGACGCATCACACTAGTTACTGGTGTCAAATCAAAAATATCCACTACAGTCCTACAGAAGGTCAATCGCGAGCCCGAATAGCTCAGTGGTAACGTCTCTGACTGCAGCACTGGGTGATGCGAGTTCGAATCTCAGAAGGGACATCAGTTCCTTCAAGGTTGCAGATACGCCTTGCTGATGAGTGCCAACTAGCACGAAACCTGGGTCCATGGCTTCCTGCCGATTGTTTCCAACCATCTAATACCAACAATTGACAGTGCACCGTAATGGCGAGCCACCTAGCATGGTGGCCACATTGCAAACATGACTGATAGAATTCAGTCTGCACCGAAGATAGGACTAGACACATTACACTAGTTTCTGACTAGTGTTCAATCAAAAATATCCACTACAGTCCTACAGGAGGTCAGTCGCGAGCCTGAATAGCTCAGTGGTAACGTCTCTGACTGCAGTACTCACTGGGTGACGTGGGTTCGAATCTCAGAAGGGACATCAGTTCCTTCAAGGTTGCAGATACGCCTTGCTGATGAGTGTCAACTAGCACGAAACCTAGGTCCAAGGCTTCCTTTGGCCGATTGCCTCCAACCATCTTCTATCATCAGATAAGTATTTCTTTAAAAAGGTACTTTACCACACACACACACACAAAAGAGCACGTGATAGGAGAAACAAGTGTAAAAAGGGACAAGGGGCTAAATAATAATAATAATAATAACAATAATAATAATAATATAATTGTACTTCAGCGCATATCAGAATACCTAAAATGATGTACACTTTCTAGGAAGTGACAGGCGCATAAAAGGTGGGCGGCGTGTAAGAGTAATAAAAACGTAAGCCTATCATTACATAATTAGTCAATGGTTAAACAAAACACAAGCGCATCTGTGAAGTAGTACAGATGCCCTTGTACAATGATATAAACTCTGTGTGTGTGTGTGTGTTTCTACAACATAGAAACGCAGATAGTAACAGGAAAATATACTGCTACCCACCTACTTGCCTACCTACCTACCTACCTACTATAGGTGGACACTAATTAGTAAAGGAAAATAGTAATGATAGTAATAGTGATTACTAATAATAATGGTAGTAATAATGTGCGTGCAGCCATAATATATATAGAAGCTGTAAATACAGATAAAAGCTTACTGTGGTTAATATAAAAGATGCGACCATTACTATGTACACGTTCCTCCCAACCAGGCTGTAAAAGAGGAGAGAAGAAAAGTATTAGTGAACAAGTTTATACATAAAATATGTGGTTTACAGAAATTATATTAAGATGCGTCAATTTCACCATAAACTGAATTAAGGATATCTTGGGTTCCAAGTGGAATATATAGACCTTCAACAGCACATCTCCACTTATTCCTGTTCTCTTCCATCCTCTTTAAAGCTGACCACACACAGTTGTCAGTAATCTGTCTCCCTCGAACCAATGCCCATCTCATTGTTTCTCGTTCAGCTTCCATTCGAGAGATAGCCTAGTGTGCAATATCACTCAAAAGTCTCTCCTTAGCACATGCCTAATCTCCCGACCGAAAGCTGCTACCTTGACGTGGTGGTCGGCCTTGAACACTGCAATGACCCAACAAGCTATACTGGCTGGAACTTATGTTCCTGCAGGTCCTACCATGCCAGAAAGGTTGTTTGGATAGCAGTTAGACTAAAAGCAGTTACCCAATCCAATCCTATGATTTCAAATAAATCACAAAATTTCATGCCGGATCGGCCGGGGCCCGGATTAACAACGACCGCGCTTTCTGCTGCCGTGTCACAGGGCAGAAGTGATAAATACGCTACTGAGACACACCAAATAAAAAAGAACAAACAAAAACAGGCCGTGTGTGACCGGCCTCAAGCAGTTGTCCCCTGGGCTCTGCGGTCACGCAACCAACTTCCACGGTGTGGGCAGCCGGGAAGTACCAATCGCCCTCACAACCCGAAGTGCACGCGAAACCCCTCTAATCCTCGCTCATCTTTGTCTTCATCTTCATCTCTATTATCTTGCCTTCCTTCTACCAATGCAACTCCTCTACTTGTTGGCTCTTCACTCCCCCTTCACTCTGTGTGCACTGATAACGATGGAAGCCAAAAAGCCACCACCGATTGTCTCCTAAAACCACGCCACCAATTTTATATAGGAGCATTTAATGTTAGGACACTCTGCCAAATAGGACAACAAGCATCTCTAGCCAAGACTCTGGCATCCCGAGCCATTGATGTATGTTGTGTTTCAGAAACACGCATACAAGACCCAAGTGTGGTTATTCACCTAACTCCACCTGGCCAACAGGATGAATCTGCAAAATTCACCTTGAGGGTGTCAGGAGATGCGACGGCTAGCTCACGAGGATTAGCTGGTGTTGGGATAGCTTTAAGTACTAGAGCGGAAAAGACATTACTTGACTGGATCCCGGTAGATAGCCGAATGTGCGCTGTCCGCCTGAACGGATCAGTGAAAAGGAGAAAGGACTGCACTACTCGCCGATGCCTTTTCGTAATCTCCGCCTACGCCCCCACTGACTGCAGTTCGGATGAAACGAAGGATGAGTTCTACCAAAAGCTGTCTAGTTTGCTGCGAAAGGCTAGACGCTCAGATATAGTCGTTTTAGCTGGTGACTTTAATGCTCAAGTAGGGAAATTGTGTCAATCTGAGAAGAATGTTGGTGGCACATACGGAATTCCGTGCCAGCGAACCGACAACGGTGACCGTCTCCTACAGTTCTGTTCAGATAATCATTTGTATCTTGTAAGCACTAACTTCAAACACAAGGAGAGACACTGTCTTATCTGGCGACCCCCATCATCAAATCAACGCTGGACACAAATAGACCACATAGCAATAAGCTATCGTTGGCGTGGGTCGGTAGGAGATTGTCGCTCCTTCTGGAACACGTGTGTAGATACCGATCACGCACTGGTCCGCGCTCGTGTGTGCTTACGACTGAACGGACGTAGGAAACAGTTGGCGGTAAACCCATCACGTCCCCAGCTCTATCAGCAAACTAAGTCCCTTTTTGAGGAAGAACTAGCTAAACACATATCTGAGTTTGACAGCTGCGCTCACCCTGAAGAAGCCTGGAAGAATATTCAATCAGCCATAGATACAGCTGTAAAAGCTGTGAATAAGGTAATTCCAAAGGTGAGTAAAAACCACTGGATTTCGACTGCCTCATCCGAACTGATAGATGCTAGAAGACTTATACCGGCGAGCTCCGAATTCAACGAGGAGCGAAAGCTGCACAAAAAGAAACTTACGAAAAGTCTCCGCAAGGACCGTGAACAGTGGTGGTTGACTAAGGCGAAAGAGGTGGAAAAAGCATCGGCGATAGGCAACACCAGACAACTATTCAGGCTTATCAGGGAAACAGGTGGTAAAAAACAAATGATAAGCGAAACAATCTCCGAGAAAAATGGCACCATAATTAGCTCCCAGGATAGACGTCTGGAGCGCTGGAAAGAACACTATGAGGAGCAGTTTAAATGGCCCACAGCCACACTTAACCTACCAGACATCCAACACCTCCCTGAATGGGAGATAGACACAGGTCCTCCGTCCTTAACCGAGGTTACTAAAGCTGTCACCAATCTGAAGCTAGGCAAAGCAGCGGGACCTGATTTATTGACTCCAGAGGTATTTAAGTACGGAGGCGACAGTTTACTGTCTGCGTTAACGGAGGTTCTAGGCAGCGTCTGGGAATCAGAGGAAGTCCCATCGGGTTGGTGTAAGTCACTGATCATCCCGATATACAAGAAGGGGGACAAGTCGTCTTGTGATAATCACAGAGGGATTAGCTTGACTAATATAGTATCTAAAATCCTAGAGTCAATAATACTGCGTAGATTAAGTGGTGCTCGGGAGACACAAACACGAGAAAACCAGGCAGGTTTTAGGCCAGGTAGAGGGTGTATTGATCACATCTTCACCCTTCGACAGATTCTAGAACATAGGCATTCCTACCGGCGTCCAACAATCATTATATTCCTTGACCTAAAGGCGGCATTCGATTCTGTCGACCGGGAGGTTCTCTGGCGATGCTTGGCTGTAAAGGGAATGCCAAGAAAATACATTGCACTGATTAAGGCACTCTACTCGTACTCATGCAGCCAGGTGAGGGCTTATGGCGAGTTGTCATCTGAAGTGGTGACGACTAGTGGCGTCCGTCAAGGATGCCCATTATCCCCATTCCTATTCAATTTCATCATAGATGTACTAATGGACTTAACCCTAACTCACTTCAGCGACTCAGGGATTGACTTGCTACCAGGGAAGAATCTCGTTGACTTAGAATATGCGGACGATATAGTCCTTCTAGGCGAGGACTCTGACAAAATGCAGAGTCTACTGAACACCCTGAGCAACAATCTCCGCATGTTTGGCATGCGATTCGCCCCTATAAAATGTAAGATGATGCTGCAGGATTGGACTTCATCGACCCCTAGATTAGAAATAGGAAGTGAAGTGGTAGAACACGTTGACCGCTTCACTTACTTGGGAAGTACCATCAGCCCCAACGGGTTGATCTCAGACGAAATTTCAGCACGAATACAGAGGGCTAGGTTCGCATTCGCCAGTTTTCGCCGTCTCTGGCGTAGACGCGATATCCGACTATCGATCAAAGGGCGTGTGTACTGCTCAACAGTCCGCTCCGTCCTCCTTTATGGCTGTGAGACCTGGCCATTGAGAGCAGAAGACATGAAAAGATTAGCTGTCTTCGATCATAGGTGTCTGCGTTCTATCTCCCGCGTGAAGTGGTATAATAGGGTGAGCAATATTGAGGTTAGGCGTAGAGTGCTAGGTAAGGAGGGGAAATCAATCGACGAGACTGTGAAATTACTTCGACTGAGATGGTTAAGACATGTGCTACGTATGCCTAGTCATCGCCTTCCTCGACGGGCAATGTTAGCTGATATAGGGTCAGGCTGGAAAAGAGCTAGCGGCGGTCAAACCAAAACATGGCACCAATCAATGAAATCCACAACAGTTAATCTGAGCCACGTAGGAAGATGTAGACTTCCTGGTTGGGGCCCTCCGGATGGTAAAAACCAATGGTTGGAAACAATTGGTGATTTGGCTCAAAATCGTTCTCAGTGGCGCAGATGCATCCACTCCTTGTGACTTATGATTTCCAATTAAACTTTTGTTCTCCGTTATTACTATTCCTTTGTCTCACACCTCTGTTTACTGTCTATATTATGCATTTCTTCTACTTTCTTCTCTTGCTTTGCGTGCTACATAGATTGTGGCGACTTGAACTGCCGCACATATGTGCAAAGTTCTATGTCGAAAACCGACCGACCGACCATGCCTAATCTATATGCACCTTCTTCTGCATATTGGTTGAACAATAGGCCTCTTGATCGTTTTGTTCCCAGCCAGAGTTTCTTGTTGCTAATTTTCTCTGGTCGGCAGTTTGATCTCCAATATGGATATGGATATCTAGCAAAAATTAAAAAAACCTACGATGCACAAACATATCCAACTATGTTTAAGGATGATATCCGGCTGTCGATCAAAGGGTGTGTGTACTGCTCAGCAGCAATTCGCTCCATCCTTCTTCATGGCTGTGAGCAAGACATGGCCACTGAAAGTGGGAGACACGAAAAGGCTAGCTAGCTGTCTTTGATCATAGGTGTTTGCGTTCTATCTCTCGTGTGTGTTAGGTGGTACAGTAGGATGAGCAATATTCAGGTTAGGAGTTGAGTGCTAGGCAAAGAGGGGTAATCAATCAACGAGGTTGTCAAGTAACACCGATTGAGATAGTTAGGACATGTGTTGTGCATGCTAAACCATCGCTTTGCTCGACGGGTGATGTTAGCTGACATTGTATTAGGTTGGAGAAGAGCCAGTGATGGTCAAACGAAAACGTGCCATCAGTCAATGAAATCTATAACAGTTAGTTTAAGCCAGCCACGTATGGAGGTGTAGATTTTCTGATTAGTTGGGTTCCTCAGAATGGTAAGAATCAATGAAAACCGGAGACAATTTGTGATATGGCTGGCTCGAAATCGTCTTCAATAACTGGAGTAGATGCATTTAATCTTTGTGATTTCTCATATCCAATAAAAATTCTATTTTTCTTCCACATCACTGTTCTTTTTGCTTCGTATTTCTGTTTATTATCTCTATTTTAAAATCTATCTCTACTCTCTTCTCTTGCTTTGTGTGTTACATTGAGAGAAAGAGAGAGTGGCAAGTGG